GGAGGGGGAGGGAGAAGGCTCCCATCACACAGCTGTAAATGCTGACCCAGTACCCCCCTCTCAAGCCTGCTACTTGCTAAGAGCATCACAGGGCGCTCACGATGGGTGCATGAATGCCCAAGGGCTCCCGCCAGAAAACTGCCTCTAAAAGATTATACTTCCCTGGAGTTTGGTAATCTAGACCTTTTACCTTTACAGACAAGGCAAAATAAAACAAAAAGGTGTATTATTGCAACTCAGAAAGGTTTTCTGCAGTGTAATTAACTGGGCTGCAATAAATATGTACACACATACACTACAGCATTGCTTTGGGTGCAGGATCTCGCTAATTTACACGCGGGTGTTGACCAGGGTATCTGCAATTTAGCAGCAAAAAGGGGAAATTGCTTAAGACATTTCTCGATCAAGCTGTATTTAAAAAGTGCTTTGTTAATACCTTTAGAGCCTGCACGGTTGATACCTATCTGGATAGCCCACTAGACCTTGTAGTACGGAGGTTGCTGACTTAGGGGAACACTAATTCCCCCGAGGTACCGTCTGAGCAGATTGTAAGTACAGTCACATGACCTACAATCCAATCTTTGTGCTCAGAGTCATATTGCTAAAAGAGGAGAAAAGGCAATTGCAGAGGCCAAATGGACTCGCACGGGGTTCAGCAGGGCCCCTGGGTTCAGCCGGGACACAGGTCCTGAACTACATGGGCCAGCTGTAAAGAAGTTAGCTGCTGCCAAGACTTGACTTTCTGACGGAGGAGGACCTTGAATGCTGGGTGTTCCTATGTTGGCCAACCTGAACTTGCTGACTTGGCTAAGGGCACAGTGTAAAGGTCGCATGCTCCCCTCCTGGAAGGGGGATGGGCAGCAGGCTCTGGCCCGGCACCCCACACAGGGCAGGGGCACACAGTGCCCCAGCTCCCCACCCACTTACACTGAACACCTTTTTGAAGTCTACTTAAAGAGTTTTCAGAGGCCTTATTTCCGGACTTTATTTTTAAAAAGCAAAACAAAGCTGCCCTACCAAGAACAGAAGATCCATCTGCCCCTTTACAGCAGGTAGCTATTCCAACAGCAAACATGACACTGTCAACTGTGGGGGCCAACTAACTGTAGGCTAAAGAGCCCTCATACTGACACTGCCTGGGCAACACCATAACCTGCTTGACAGGCCCTCCTCCCCCAAGAGGGAAGCTGGCCAAGAGCCTATGAGAGAGTCTATCTTCCTCCCCAACCCTACCACTGTCTCACTGGAGGGGGCAGGTTTGCTCAGCTTCCTGCCCCAGCTCTCTCACCTTAGCATGTGGACGGGAGCGGACAGAACACCTGTCTACTGCAGGTGAGACAATTCTGCCCTTGGCTGCCAGCTGTGTCTAGTAGCCCTGACAAGGGACACTGGCTGACATTCATATGGATCACTGCCTGAGATATAAGGACTAGACTGAAGACAGAAGTTGCATCCACTGGGCAAAATATGCCAAAGAACAGAAATTACTCCCCATTTGTTCATTTAGGCATCAGGAATAAATGAGTCCAGAGAAAGCAAACCTGTGGAACATGTGACACAGCTGAACTGGACATAACCACACTCAAGAGGGAAGAAACACAAGTGGACAACAGCCCAGCTTCCCACCACTTATCACCCACCTCACCTGGTTCTGAGAGACTTCTAAAGAGAGTCAGAGGGAAACAACTTAACCCGAGAAGCGCTCACAGGCACTGTCACCTTACCCTTCCTCACACCACCTCCATTCTGAGGGGCAGGTTTTAAGCCAACACGTGCTGAGCACCCCTGAGTCTGCAGAGTCCCAGTCAGGTTTCTTCTGGAGGTGGTGGGGCCTAAGCAAGAGTCCAGTTCTGGTTAGGATAACAGCGTTTATTTGACATCTGCAGGATGGTGGTATCTTGCAGCTTTTGACCAGGTTTATACAATCTCAACAGTGCAACCTGCGCAAGCAAAGGAAGAGGGGAGGAAAAAAGGAAACAAAAGACCATCTGTCCCCTCACTTGTTTTTATAAAACATCTATTATAGGCGAAACAAAACTTACCCATGTTATAGATAAGTGTCTATTCACATTTGTACATTACCATTTTTAACAGCTTGAGATAAACTCTACAATGTCTTACAACACATTAAACAATATTCAAGTTACTGGGTAACAACAATAACGAGAAATAAACATACAGCAGAAGCCTCAGTGTTTCCTCCATCTACTTTACAGCTCAAGTACGGTGCCTTTTCATGAGTGACCAACATATTAATATAATTAAGTAAAAAAAAAAAAGACGATTTGTAAAATGGAAGCCGAGTTGTCCTTCTTTCTAAAACTATCTTAAGTTAAGGAAAATGGAATTTTGAGAAAAGCAGGCTTGTAGCCGTTCTTGCAGCACTCATTAGGAATACTATTAATACATTAAACTTAACTTTTTATGAGTTTTATCACAAAAAAATGTATTTATCACCTTAACAAGGAACCTAGGGCAGGGAGGATTGGGGGAGGGTCCCAGGGTCAGAAGCGATGCCCAGGTATAAACATCATAAAACGCAGTGACCGAGGCTATGCACCTGCACCTCTCTCCGTCACATGACGTCTGTTAGTCTTGCTCACGCATGCTTCCAGGACATGCACTGTCAGACATAAACGAGGACAGAACCTGAATGTGCCATGTGCAACCTCTCACTTCATGCTTGAATAAACCTAGTGTTGAGTAAGTTGGAAAAGAAACCAATATATATTTTCTATTTATAGACCCAAACACATGCACCCGGAGAACTCCCACAGCCACGGCACGGATGTCCTGCGCGAACCCTGAGCACTGTGAACATTAAGTAAAGCCGGTTTGGGAAGTTCCAAGCATTTTTAAACCAATTGTGGTTCGTAGCCTTGAACAAACTCATAAACAAACAAACAAACAGACGGACACACGCACACACACCCCTCTGCTCCCCCAAAGCAGGAGCATATGGGAAGTACCATGGGCAGAGCGAAGGAAAGACAAATGTCCCCAGTCGGCACTGCTGATCTTCAGTTTCACTGTCTATTCCACGTTTTTCCTTTTTCCCAAAAAATCAACGAGAGAGCACAACTGAAAAAATTATAATTCTTTGGAAACTGTCCCTGATTTTTATGCAAATGATATGCGTCCCCAGCATCTCAGATACATCCATGTTGAAACCTGTCTGTTCTTAAGCATTGCTCAAGCTGGCGATGCTCTGGGGGTGGCGCTGCTGCCAGAGCTGTTTCTGCTGGACCGCAAGCTGCTGGGACTGGTCTGAAGTGGACAGGAGATTCACAAGAGGAGCCACACAATTTGCGGGGATGATCAAACCTGCCATTAGAAATAAGAATTTTTAAAGGTTGCACCTAGGAGCAACCACACAGTATTTTACACTGCCCAGCAAATTCCAAATGAGGCATAGTATTAAGAGAAACAAACCAGACTCCACACAGAAACTAAACAAACACCTAACAACCGAAATGGCTCTTTCTGAAGAAACCTGAGCACACGTGTGTCTTCGTGTCACCATCTCCTTGGTGGAGGGCCAGGAGGTCAAGGTCAGAACTCTCCTGTCTATTATCTCTCGCAGCTCCCAAACGTGGGCAAACATGCCTTCCCTGGTAGGTACTAATGCAACAAACAGACTGCAGAGTTGTGGCTACAAACTCCAACGCTGACTAAAGCAGGCAGACGCTAGCAAACTGGACAGCAGATGCCCTGGGGCGGGGGGGCACGACGGACTCCAGACTCCTCCCAGGTGGGAAT